ATGTCCAGAAAATGAGGATAAATGTTTAATTGGATTTTATTGATTACGCTCACAAGAGTACAGAAGTCGGTTTTAGGCTGAAAACCGAGATCATCTTAGGTTCGTGTACAATGTGTTTCAAAAGATCCTCGTACTATCATAAATTTTGCTATTTATAGTACGGTGGCTTTCGTCTTCTTGCTCAAAATGGATAAGGATGCATTTAATGTTGAGCTGCTTCGCTTAAAGCGGCGGGAAACATCAATGATAGCCTTTTTGTTTCGTTGGTCCAATCAGATATTTCTAATGATTACTTTCTGTTGGAATGTTCAGACTTTGTAATAGTCGGTTGACCTGAAGTCGGTTTACTCGCGTTGGCTTCGGATGTCGGTTTCGATCCTTTTGAAGATCTTTCGGAAGTTGGATCTTTGGAAATCGGTAGCTTCTTCAGAAGTCGGTAATTTGTTCTAATATATACCGACTTGTAGTAAGTTTACTTTCCTGCGAATTTATTTCTTCAGTAATACAATTAATTTCCATCTTCAATCTCTCTTACTGGATTTGATATCAACACATGCAATCCAGGTAATCCTTGTGTGTTGTGTTAACAGAATTGCGTTGTGTAAGGAGCGTTAAAAAAAATACAACACAACAACTACAAACTTTCAACTATTTTATCAAATATAGCTAATTTATAAATTGTTTATGCAATCTGTTAGCCAAATCAGATACAAAAATAAACTTTCAACAAATATATTTAAATATTGACCATGTTTGGCACTCATCGGATAACTGATAAATAATAGAATTAGCTGATATCCCAAATTTATTGAATAATCATTTTAACTAATGATTATGTAGACATATTTGGCAAATAATTATCTTTTTGGTATGTAAAAGTACTCACTTCACAATCCATATTATTAAACTTATTTGGAATTAACCTTATGAATAAAAAACTATTTTAAAAAATCAATCACTGAACAATAAAATTATAGATTCTAATATAATAAACTTCTAATTTACACTGTATACCGAGCGATATACATTATATTACATTTATATACTTCATAAATATTTATTCGCAAATATACAAAATTCACCCTATTTATTTGCACTTATACCAGATTTTAGTTTTGTTAATTATATCTTTTAAATATAGAAGGGATAGATAATATTCATAAGTGATCCCAATCCAAGAGAGAGAAAATAATTTCGCAAAGAGAGAGAGACTACACGAAAGGGAGATTCCATGGTGTCAAGGTGCTACAACCGGATCGAAGGCTCCTGCCGGAGAACATCTTGGAGTACAACTGGCTACGGGGGTTGATCCCGCAACGGTACGACGGGAGGCAGTTGTGGCGGTTGTACCTCGACGGGAACTACCTGAACGGGTTGCCGCCAGAGGTGTTTTTCGCCGGCGGGGGACCGGATTCTAGCAGCTTGGGGGACAACTGCCTGGAGTTGTGTCCGACGAGGTCTGGGCTCTGCCTAAAATCGCAGAAGCGGGTGGCGATTTGCCGACAGGCGTACTATTTCCCGAATTCTGGGTAGACAATGGATCTTCTTTTTATGTCATGCCAAAGTCAACCTTGAATCAAATGCTCATTAAAAATTCTCAGATCTCTGATTCGGATAAGCAGTGTACAAGATCGAGGAGTGGGAAGCCAAAGTATTGAGTTTGTCAATATTATTTTATTTTGATTTTTTTTTTACTGATCACTGGAGAAAAATTGATGATTAAATTTTCTTTGATCGTAGAAAATTCTCAACGTTTTGATTCTGATGTGATTAGCTGATTAGTCTCCCGTTTTCTGAAACTGGTTTATTTTTGTGGACGGTTTATGCTTTTGGTTGATCATTTTTCTTTCTTTTTGTGTGTGCGTACTTTTAGTGTTTGCAAACACTCTTGAAGTCGAGACAAGCAGTTTAAACTTGGTTATCTGTCACATATGTATTGACTTGAGACGACCAATATATACTGGCAAGAAATAGAAGCTCCTGAACAGAATAAAGCACAGAAAACTGTTGGAGTCCACAAGGCACAAGTCACTTTCTGATGTAGGCAAAGCGTACGAATGAGAAAGATAAACGAATACTCTCTCGATAAAACTCACAATCAATTCATATTCTTATTCATAATCAACTGAATAACACAAAAGAGAAGGAGTCCTTTAAATAAGGCTCCTAAAACCCTAATACTAACTTGTCCAACAAGATCAGAACCCTAACAATACTAACTTGTCTAGCAAGACAAAAATCCCACTAATAATAATAATAAGGCAAAATTGCATATTAATACACAACTTTTCATGTTTTTGCAATTTAATTACGACCTTTGAAATTTTGTAAATTAATACACCACCTTTACCATTTTTGGAAATCGATACATGAATGACGGCTCCGTTAACAAAAATCCGACATGGTTTAATGCCATGTAAGATTTTCGTTAGATTTTTGTTATCGGAACCGTCATTCGTGTATCGATTTGCAAAAATGACAAATGTGGTGTATTAGTTTGCAAAATTTCAAATGTGGTGATTAAACTGCAAAAACATGAAAAATGGTGTATTAATATGCAATTTTGCCTAATAATAATAATAATAATAATAATAATAATAATAATAATAATAAAGAGGGAAACAAATAAATAGATTGAAGATTCTAAACATCCTTATCTCCATCATTCTCCCCCTGTCGAAAAGGATTCGCCCTCGAATCCGAAGCAATCTCGTCTTCAACTGCTCTACAATCCCAACCGGGCCAAGAACTTGGTATACTCACAAGCAAAAAATCCATGACAACAACTCTCCACTTTGTCCTTTTTGGGTACACTATGCGAGTTATCAGACACATATGCTTGTTGAATAAAAGACCATGAAAATCCATCTTCCAATTCACTGAAAACATCCATTCCAGGCACAACCTCTGGCCTCACAAATGATTCTACAATCACATGGTACTCGTCCTCCATCGACGCCACAGATGGCTCCTCATCAAAAACGGGTGGACCCTCATAATCGGTCGACCCCTTGATATAAGAAATAGGTGGACCTGTATATTCGGTCAACCCCTCGTCATCAAAACAAGGTGGACCCTCATATTCGGTCGACCCTCGTATGTCCACAAAGGCCCCTAAAAATTCGAGGATTTCGACTTGGAAAGATGACTTCCAATACCGATTGTCGTCTTGCTGCGCCTGTCGGAAGCCAAAGGGTTTGACCTCCAACAACGTTTCTTCGCTGTCGTCCTCGCTGTGCATCGGTGGTGGCGTACGCTGACGGGGCGCCCCGCCAGGCCCTCTTCCGCCACGACTTACGCGATAACCCCCGCTACCGCCTCGGCCAGCCAAGTCGCGGTTCGTTTGCTTGTCTCGAACCATGGTACGGATAGTTAGACGTATGTCCCCTATCTCCACGGACAAATCTACAATCTCACGACCCATCATCTCGATCTGGCGGCCAAACCACTCGGTCCGGCGGCTCAGGTTGTAGATGGCGGCGACACGCCTATCGTTTGCAGCATCCTGTCGTCGCGACAGCATCGTGAATCATGCTGACTTTTGATACCAACTGATGTAGGACGTGAATGACAAAAGGGAATAAAGAGATCACTCTCTTGATAAAACACGCAAGACTGATTTATTTCTCTCAAAAACATTCTTTTCATCGTTTCCTTCAACCATGAGAATAAATAGAGTTTCAAGTCTCCTAAATCTCCTAACTTGATAAATAAGAAATAAATATTCTCCTAATCAAAATAAAGATTTTCCTAACCAACTCAATAAGATAAATAAGGAATAGATATTAATGAGATCGCAATCTCAAGAACACTAAAACAATAGATCAATTCATATTCTTATTCATAATCAACCAAGAAAAATAAACTAGAGTGAGTCCTTTATATAAGACCCCTGATACTAAACCTAACTTGTCCAACCAGACAAGATTTTTACTAAATATTAAATAATAATATTAAACTCATAATTTATTCCCCAAGAAAACTATTAAATAATAATAATAATAATAATAATAATAATACTATTAAATATACATAAAATATACTTTAAATATACACTCGAGTTTCAATCGTTTCTCAAAATCGATTTCAGAACCCACATATACATAAAATATACTTAAGATATACACTCAAGATCACGTAGATGAAACGAGCAGGCAAGAAGGTCTCAAGCGGTGGTTGATCAGAGTCCGATTGGTCATCTTTTCTTTCTTTTTCACCGTATTGTTTTCTTCCTTTTAAAATCTTGACTTCCGAGGGCTTGTGGCCGGAAAAAACCCATGTCTTGGAACATGGCCACTGTCGCATACGAAGCAGGCGTGCCTATCTTGGCCGAGGGCTGCAGCCGGAGTGTGCTGCCTGCCGTGAATGGCCTGGTGCTCTTGGTACTCGCCAGAATTTGGTGCATCTCGGGTGCCCTCGAATCTCCTTGCCTGAAATTGAGGTTTCTAGTGCTCGTGGATCGCCGACTCGCACGACTTTCTCGTTGCCGGAAAATTGGTGGCCTCCTTCTTGCCGAGGAAAATGACAGGTTTTTGAGAACTTTCTGAGAGATTTTTTTTTTTTACCGAGGGAGACGAAGATCTGTAACTATCAAATATGGAGTCAAGATCTGTAACTGATTTTTAGGCAACAATATATTAATTACTAGCTATTAGATATATACACTATTAATGGTGTATTAATGATAATTTTGCAATATTCCTGCAATCGTGTGGATAAGTGAAAATGTCCCAATATTGAATACCGAACAATATAGGCTAGTATGTATGGTACACTATACAAAGGGTCACACTCTTCTAGATTGAATGGACCCCAATTTGCATTGAGCTATAGTCCAAGCCCAAGGGCCCAACCAATCATATTTTCACACAATTAAATATTATTTAAAAAGTCAAAAACTATTTTTTCGCCCTGTCTATATCTATTAACCATTTCTGATTTTTTTGTTCCTTGTAAAAAATAATTCCGTTTTCCCCCCTCTAAAATATAAAAATTTCACTATGGCCTCAGCTCCGAAAGAAGTCGCCTTCGACATGTCGCCGTTTTTCCGGCTGTTCAAGGACGGCACCATCGATCGGTTCGGCCCGCCGGGGTTCCACCCGACGTCCGAAGACCCGAACGCCGCCGTCCGGTCCAAGGACGTGCAGATCGACCCCGCCACTGGCCTCTCCGTCCGCATCTTCGCCCCCCGCCGCCGGGATCCGCCCCGGCGGCTCCCTGTCGTCGTCTACATCCACGGCGGCGCCTTCTGCATGGGATCTGCCACTTCGCCGCCGTTCCACGCCTTCGTCTCCACCGTGGTCGAGCGGGCCGATGCCATCGCCGTCTCGATCGACTACCGCCTGGCTCCGGAGACCCCCCTCCCGGCCGCGTTTGAGGACTCATGGGCCGCGTTCCGGTGGGTAGCGGCGCACGCCGCCTCCTCCGGCGTCGGCGACCGGGACCCGTGGCTGGCCGAGCTCGCGGACCTCCGGCGCGTGTTCGTCGGCGGGGAGAGCGCCGGCGCCACCATCGCGAACGACGTGGCGGTGAGGGCCGGGGCGGAGCCGATCGCCGGAGTGGAGATCGCCGGCGTGTTCCTGATCCACCCGTTCTTCGGCGGGAGGGAGGAGGACGCGCTGTACAGATTTCTCTGCCCGGGGAGCAGCGGCCGGGACGACGACCCGCGTCTGTTCCCGGCGGCGGATCCGAGGATCGGGGGGATGGCGGGGCGGCGCGTGATGTTTTTGGTGGCGGAGAAGGATTTCCTAATTCAGGGCGCGTGGGGTTACTACGAGGGTTTGAAGAGGAGCGCGTGGGCAGGTGAGGTGGAGATAGTGGAGACAAAAGGAGAAGGGCACTGTTTTCATCTGTGGAATCCCAACAGCGAAAAGGCTGTGGCTGTAATGGATCGTTTGGTTGCATTTATCACTACTCCATAGTCAATAATTAATATGGAATAAGTGGAATATGTTCTTTTGTAGGGAAAGACTACATTACATTCCTGTTTTAACTGTAGTAGTCATTTCCTATATTCTAAGCTTTGTTAGTTTTAACATCTTTTATTTGACCCAATAATGTTTTGTTTTTTCCTCATTTTGTTTAAGTAATAATGGGCACGTACTTTTATATTAAATGTTATAATTTAAAAATAATTTATTAATAATACTATGACATTGATCATAGGTTTACTATATATTTTTATGAAAAAAGTTATGGCTTTTATTTAGTGCGCATCTAGTAAGAATTTGTACTTTAATTTTTGCCAAAATTATGATTGATCTTTCATTTGTAGGGTGTCTTCATTATGTTTGATTACATGTCATAATTTCATATGAAATGAGATGATGAAACATTGATGAGGAATATGAAATATTGTTTACGATTACTTTGGATCAAGTAAAACGAGGTGGAGAGAGTTTACACTATCAATTATCAACTAGTTATTTAATCAAACATGTTCAGTCTTTCTAGTAACACATTCGATTTCATCAAACGATCACTCAAAATTTATCAAATTGTGATTACTTTTTTTAATATTATACCAAAATGTGTCTTGAAGTTCACTGTAGATCCAATGAGTTGTTTGAAAAACACTTTAATTGAATCCAAAGCTCTCATGATCGTCAACTATGGCTTTCGATCGCGTGCAATGAGTCACACAAAATTACGAGATTTCTGGAGTGCAGTGGCGGGCATAAAACTTCCATTGACGATTGTCGATGACTCAATTCTCCGAAAATAATGAGTGAACTTCTATTTTCTTCTTCGTTTCATGGACTACAATANNGTTTATTATTTTTTTGACAAATTTCAAGGCCACAACGAGCTTAACAAAAAGATTCCCGCCGCTAATAGTTTTTTACGGTTTTGACAGAAACTGATTAACAAAAAAATCGTTGTCTACCAAGATTAATTAAGTGAAAACATTGAATACCAACAGTAAAATATGATAAAATTGGATTATAAAACAATTATCTGGGAAATACCCAACAACCAACTATATTAAGAGCATGCTATGTAAGTATCATAAGTTAGCTTATAAGTTATCTATAAGCTTTTTGTATTTGAATATAACTGGTTTGGTAGGATGGTTTTTATTTATTTATTTTTTTTTACGTTGGACCTTAATTATTTTATTAGTTTCACTAAGTAACTTTTCAAAAAAAGTCTGTTCAAATTTTAATTTCAGTTGGTTTATCAATTAATTAAACTAAATACATTTATTATATCAACGAATTTTTAAGCAATAGTCATAAACTATCAACTATAAATTTAAAATTTACTTATAAGCTACCAACTAATTTATCAACTATTAACTAGATTTACTTATAACTTATCACCTTTTAGCTATCTTTCCACCTACATCTACAAAATAACTGGTTACTGGTTCGAACATTCTTCA